CCTTTCTGCCTTCCGAGACTAAGCATTGTCTCCATCTGTCAGCTGAAATATCGCCAATTTTATTTAAATCCTGTCGGCTGAAATATCGCCAATTTTATTTAAACCCTGCACGGCTGAAATATCGCCATTTTATTTAAATCCTGCATGGCTGAAATATCGCCGACTTTATTTGCATCTCTTGCATGGCTAAAATATCGCCAACTTTATTTAAATCTTTGCATGGCTGAAATATCGCCAACTGCATTTAAATCTCTATATCGGCTGAGAGATCGCCAGTTTATATTTAATCATCATCGGCTGAAAAATCGCCAGTTTATATTTAATCATTATCGGCTGAAATATCGCCAACTTTATTTTGATCCTTGTCGGCTGAAATAGCGCCATTTATATTTATGCCTTACATCGACTGAAATATCGCCATTTACATTTCTTCTTTACGTCAGCTGAAACATCGCCAACTTTATTTTGATCCTTGTCGGCTGAAGTAGCGCCATTTATATTTATGCCTTACATCGGCTGAAATATCGCCATTTACATTTCTTCTTCACATCGGCTGAAACATCGCCAGCTTTATTTAAATTTCTGTCGGCTGAAATATCGCCATTTACATTTCTTCTTCACATCGGCTGAAATATCGCCAAATCCTGCATTTCATGGGCTGAAATATCGCCAACCTGCATTTCATGGGCTGAAATATCGCCAAATCCTGCATTTCATGGGCTGAAATATCGCCAAACTATCCAAAGGCGTCATTGTTTGGAGGCACCATTTTCATAGCCCGAGAACGCCATGCCATGGCCCGAGGACCCCGCTTTATATTCTGCACACCATTATTCAAAGGCATCATGGTTCGGAGGCACCATCATCATAGCCCAAGAACATAATTTCGTGGCCTGCGAATCCCTTATTATGCGCTTCATGGCCCAGGACATCATAGTCTGAGGACGTCGACAACCGTCCAAAGACAACATTCATGGTCCAAAGGGAACTTGCATCATGTTTAAATTTACGCACATTATACGTTGTATTGCTCACTTGCAGGTACGCCGGCTAGCAACGGCCATCTCAATAGGAGCGATCCCGCTCCAGTTCCCGCAGCCTATCAGGTTTCAGCTACAACCTAAACATCGCGTCCGTCCTTTTCGAAACTCTATTGGCATATTCCGTCGATGGACCCCGAACTACATATGGCCTTATTCCTGTAAAACCAGGGATATGTAGGCAGCTCAAGAGCCAGAGCTCGGTCGAAATTCTTTGCAAATCACCTCTTTCGGTCAAAATTGGCCATCCTATCTTTACCCGATAACTCTTTCATCCTTCCCGGGTAAAGAGGGGCAGTTGTTGATACCCATTTTTTCCTAGATATTTTTATACTCAAAATACTTTCAAAATAACATATATATGCATATATGAGCATGCCCAAGTTTTGGTACTTTTTCCAAAATTTAAATGATTTTTAAACCAATTTATTGCCTATTTTAATACCACAAAATCCAATAATTATTCCCCAAATTATCATTTTGGTGAATAACACATTTCATTCTCATATTTACACCAAAATATAATTAAGGTGATTTTTGTACATTTTTACAAATTTATTTGGTATTTTTAAAGCTAAATTGCGTGTAATTGCAATTATAGCCTATTTTACGGTTAATAGCATTTTATAACTACAAAAATTATTTTCGATATTTTTAAATTAATATTTATATAGTATTTGTTGGCCCAGTATCTTTAATTTGCTTTTGAAATCATTATTATTATTTTTTATAAAATAAAAAGGGGAAAATTGGCTATTTAACACTTAGCCTATTTCTATTTCAATAACAGCCCTTCCCCCTTTCAATTGTAGCCTTAATTTGGCCCAATTCCGCCCCCAAATTAAATGACCCAATTCCTAAAATACCCAACCCACAACCCGTTCTCAAACCCGCCCGATTTTAAAACTGGCAACTTTCTTGATCAGTTTGTTTCTTTATTCTTGAAACCAGTAGATGCCATGCCTACAGGCCATCACGTAGGCAAACAAGTATGTAGTTAATTAATTGCACTGGTCTTTGATAAGTTGCAGCCAGGCGAGCCTAATGCGAACTTCTTGCCTGAAAATATGTAATGAACCAGCCTCCCTAACGTTAAGCATAATTTCGACCTAATCAGTACATGTAAGACATGCTAAACTACATGATTTTCTGTGATTAAAGGAGGTTTATCTGAGCCTTAATTATTTTTGTGCTCCCATAACTGCTTTCATGTGTTTTGTTTGACGCCTTAGTATTTTTAACCTTTTTAAACCTCTGAAAAGCCAAGCTTCTTCCCTTTAGGATTAGTAGTCCTAAAAACCTCCAGGACTGATAGGTGGGACGAGTAATAGCATGCAATAAGTAAACGAGACTATTTCGCGCTTAATGCCTTAACGGGGTGGGAAGGGTAGACATGGAGATGATGATCACACGATAACACTACGCGTACAATTGACTACCGGTGTTGTGTGGATGATCCATGTGATTTATAAACCTAGGACCCCTTTTTTTATACAACTTTGTTTAATATCAATAAAATCCTGTCTTTTCCACTACTCAAAACCCTCCTTAATTTTACTGCATTATGCCTTTTCTTCCAAGTTTTCTTCTTTGTTTATTCAATATATTGATTAATTTTCTGCGCTTAGATCATCTAGACCTTGATCCCCAAATACTTGTCACGTATTTATTTGCAGCCATTATGTGTAAAATCCTTTGTGTATCTAGTTGCATTAAAGTCACAACGTAGCATGGCCGGGAACCACACTAGTGGATCTTGAGGGGTGCCTAACACCTTCCCCTTGAGATAATTTCTAGCCCTTACCCGAACTCTGGTTTTCCAACTCAAAAACCCTTCTTAGTGTCCTAATGCACTCAATCATTAGGTGGCGACTCTTCAAATCCAAAAACCCAATTCCCAAACGGGAATAGAGTTGTCTTCCCAAATATCGTAAACCCGATTTCGCGAGAAAAAGGGGGCGTCGACAACTGGTTTGAAGCGTTAGAAACTAGACTCGAAGATCTTTCATTTGATAGGTTGTGAATCACATTACACCTTATATACATGTAGATATGCTCGTCCAAATTTTGTTCTTGTGCATCATCACTTGAAATTTTAGTCTATCATGTAATTTTCCAACTTGACTAAGATTTAAGACTCTCCTAAGACCCCACATTACTTATAATATGCCTCGTACCCCAATTATAATATCCAATTGATATCCATCATATTAATAGTCTGCACAAAAAATAATATAATTAGCACACATCAACTTTCTTAAATAGTGCTCAAGTAGTTCAAAATTTTCTGGGGTGTTACATTCTCCCCCACTTAGGATCATTCATCCTCGAATGAGAAGTAGAGTCAACCCCCAAACACATAACATAACTTATCTATTCTGTCGCACATCTCAATCTCCCAAATTTTTACCAACTCCTAAATTTTTCAGAAATTTCGTCAAAGTCTCCTTTGTAATTTGGCCCATCCACTTTCCAGAGAATCACCAAAACCACTCTAACATTACATTCATATCTCAACAAAGCAACATAATATATATCAACAACACTGATCTCAACATTAGAGGTATTACATCTCGAAAAATGGTATCTGAACATGAGCTGCACATATTTAAACCATAACGCACAGGAATTACCTTTCGATCCACAATTTGTTTTTTGACTATACAACCAAGTGAGAACAATTTCTTTCCTTTAACACTTTTGGCCTTCGAGGTGTACTCCTCGACTCACAGACTTCACCATAACACATTCACGGAGGAAATCTCAACTCACAGACTTATCTAACAAGGATGACAATTAAGTACCTCTCATAGGCCAATTATCAGTTAACTTTACCTTCAGTAGTTTCCACCGGAATTATACACAAAGGATCTCCAACTACCTTCTTAGACATAGACACATGAAACACCGGGTACACGGAGGACAATAATAGGGAAACATTATACTCATATCTTGGCCTATTTCCTTCAAGATTTCACAAGGCCTAATGTGACTACACATATTTTACCTTCCTTAACAATTCACCCAATATATTCATAGAGAAAATCTTGAGAATAACTCGTTAAATTTCTTCACCTCTAAATCCCTATGCCGAACATCCAGACTAAACCTTTGGTGACCTCCAACAATTACTCTAAGATGTGCTAGCTTTAATATTACATAAAACTTCCTATCCAGTATATTTGATCACGGGATGATGCTTCTTCTTTGACATGTTTGAACCTTCAACTCCCATAGGTTATATAAATAGGAGCAATAAGGTCCGAGATTGGTTTGGAATTTTTTCAAGATTCTATCAATGTGCTGAGCAGAGTATTTTATGAGGCTATATATCCTAAGAGACATGAAGCTTACTACTGATTGCGCTGACATGGTCAATCATTATGATGACAATATTGATTCGACAAATGAGGCATAGAGTTTCCTAGTATGCATTGATAATGTAGGGACCATGTACATGATCTTAAGAGGTAAAAGAAGTAGGGGTGGGCATTCGGTATTTCGGTTCGGTATTTCGCTATTCGGTTTATCAATTGTGTATACCAAATACCGTACCAAAGTATTTCGGTACGGTTCGGTATTTCTTTTTTTGGTTCGGTACGGATCGCTAAATAAGCAACACTAACGAGTGACAATAATCGCTAAATTCAATACTCAGCAGTAAGCAACAATGCACAATTCAAGGCAACACTAACGAGTGAAAGTGTGCAAGTGCAACAGTGCACAATTCAAACTTCAAAGCAAATGCAATAACGATTAACGAGTACACAATTCTGTGCTACAGTGCACTGTGCACAACGATTAACGAGTGCAACATCTTCATAGTGCACAATTCAAACTTCAAAGTTGCCAACTCAAAGTGCACATTGCACAATTCAAAGCTGCCAACAGTGCACAATTCAAAGTTGTCAGTTCTGTCTAACTCACAAATAACCACAATTCAAATCTGCCAATTCTGCCTGACTCACAAATAGCCACAATTCAAGTTTAACACAGTGCAACAGGATTAAACAAAAATAGACTCTAACCGTGCAACAGTAGCAACTGAATTAACTTAGTCTTAACAGTGCAACAGTAGCAGCAGACTCTAACAGTAGTAGCAGAATTAAACACAGTGCAACAAAAATAGAGAGGGCATCCCTCAATTCAAGTTTACAGTAATAGTCTTGAATCAACTTAGTCTTAATTCTTAAATACGGATTTCAAGAAGACGCTCAAGACAATGCCAAATATGCTTCCTCAAACAATATGTGCCATCCCTCTTTGGATGAACATTATAGACTCGACACAATGCTTGCACTCTACTTCGTGAACTTCTCTGTTATCTTCTTTCACCTCAAAGTCTTTCCAAATATGAGAGCGTACTTTAGGAGCACGGGGCATGATTGCACTTGAACCTAAAAAACGATAAATCATAAGTTAGAATATTATTTTTTGATGATTATAAAACAAAAACTACAAAACTATATCACCAAACAAATAGAGTATTAAACTTACCACTCAAATTGCAAGTTGCAACTATACATCAAAGTTCAAACCATGCTAGTAGTGCTTCCATTATTTTCCATATCTAAAGATAATTCGACCAAATATGTCATACAAATAAACAAGTATGATATATTATTTTGAATTAAATACACACAAAATATTAAAGCTTGCCAAGCTCGAGTTTCTCAAGATACTTCAAGTCTTCTTCAACACTAATAGGATTCTTCTCTTCTCTAAGCCAATCTTGAACACAAACAAGAGCTTGCACACATTTAGGAGTCAATGAACTCCTAAATAAATCAAGAATATGGCCACCGGTGCTAAACGCACATTCCTACCCCACACTAGAAATTGGAATAGCTAACACATCACGAGCCAACTCCGAAAGAATAGGAAATCTAGGAGCATGTGTTTTTCACCAACTTAAGATATCATATTCTTCACTAAAAGGCTCTTGTTCTTCACTAATGTATTTATCCAACTCTGATTTAGCACCCCCACTTCCATTATCTTCCTTTTGTTTCTTTAAGTGAAGCTTCGTCCTTATTAATGATGCACTTATAACACTCCCACTAGATGTATTAGATGTGTTATTAGCTGAAGTAGAACTAGATAGAGATTGAGGACAAGATCCAGTTGAATACTTTTTTATAAAACTCTTCAAACAAAGAATTCATTTAAGCATACACCTCAACATTTATTTTCTTCCCTTTTTCCTCCCCAAAAAGTTCTTCAAGTGCTATTCAAATTTGTTACGTAGATCCAAGACGGAAGCAATAAAATCATTTTATTCATCTTTTCAATCTCACCCCAATACTTCTTGAACTTTTCTTGCATCCGCTCAGCCATTTTTCTCAAATGCTCATCCTCACTAACTAAATACATTTTCAAATGACAATAAAGTTCAGATACATCCTCAAAATGAGAATTACAAGTGACATAACATGAACCTGAAACTTTTTTTGGTGAACTCGTGAAATCTTGAAAGAAACTCTATCACATTCCTCATATTCACCCAATCATCAAATTCAAGAGGACCTACACTACTACCATCTTCACAAAGATGAGAACATTGATAAGCAGAAAATCCATCATCAAAAAGATGACACTTGTCAAAGGCCTTTTCAAAGTTTTGTGCCGTATCCAACATCAAATAGGTGGAATTCCACCTAGTAGGAACATCCAAACACAATGTTTTGGTACATTCTACCTTTACATGTTCACAACACTGTTTAAACTTTAAGGTCCTTACAGGAGAAGATCTCACATACCTCACAATATTTCTAACACGTGTGACAGAAGCATCAGTTTCTTTCAAACCATCTTGCACAATTAGATTTAGTATATGAGCCATGCATCTCACATAAATATGTTTACCACTCATCATATTAGTTTTCCACATATCTAACATTTTAGACAATTCTTTGACTGTGACATCATTTGAAGAAGCATTGTCCACGGTAATAGTGACACTTTATCTAATTTCCATTCAAGCAAACAATTAGAAATAGCTTTAGCCATCTCTTCACCCTTATGACTAGTGATAGGGCAAATATTTAGTATTCTTTTATGCAACTTCCAATCCCTATCAATGAAGTGGGATATCAAACACATATAATTTATTCTTTGCAATGAAGTCCATGTGTCTGTTGTGAGGCAAATTTTTTGTTGTGCTTTTCTAAAAGAACTTCTTAGATTTTGCTTCAATTCACCGTAAACTTCATAACAATCCCTTCTTATTGTTCTACGATAAGGAAGACGAAATAGTGGTTGAGATATTCTCATAAACTTCATAAAGCCTTCATTTTCTATAAAGCTAAATGGTAGTTCATCAATAACTATCATCTAAATTAAGGCCCTCCTAACCACTTCTTGATCAAATTTCCAAAGTGATCCTCCATCATTTGTGGCAAGATTGAATATTTATCTTTGTTTGACTATTATCTTTATCAATATTAGGTGGGTATTCGTTGCATCTAGTCAAATAATTTTTCAATCCTGTTGTTCCATTCCTAGATGTATTAGCAGCATAAGCTTGCTTACAATATCTACAACTTGCTTTACCAACCTCATTTACCTCAAATTTATCAAAATGATGCCAAACGTCGGATCTAGGTTGCATGGCTTTTCTTCTCTTAGTATCTTGAGTATCAATGGTGTTGGTGTTGCTATCTTCAGTAATAGATAAACTTTCACTTGAACCGGCATCACTTACTCTAATTTCATCTACCATCTACACAAAATTAAAACAAATATAATTACAAATTAAGAGCTTTCATTCCCATCAAGAAGAAAACTACAGACTACTGTCTCAACATGCACAGAAAGATAATTAAATGAGATGTATGTAGTTGCCTGAAAAGTATCAGGTGCTAGCTGCTAAATCACAATTCTGATACTAGACAATAGACATCCTTGACCTTATATTCTACTGAACGAAGGGATTCAAAATTTGGGATATGTATCTTGCCTAGACTTTATACCTAAATACTCTTAAAATTTCCTTCAATATGTCTTTCCTTGAAGGAACAATGAGGAGGAATAGCCAATGAATCTAATGGTACACTATCACCAAAAGAAAGAAAAGCCAAGGCATCATGATTCAAGGAAGGAACTCACTAGTCAACTTCCTGTAAGAATGAGAATATGTGAAATTATATGTGTGAGTATGTGTGCGCATGAAACAACAACACCAACAAAAATTGCATTACAAAATCTAAAATGAAAAGTCTGAGCAGCAATTTAAAAAGTTAAATAAAAGACACCTAAACATTTAACCTATTACTACAACTCACTAAATCGTTGCCCTTGAGAAAAGAGAAATTATTTCAATAACCTCTCAAATGTCAGCTCCTAATATATGATTGGAACAGTACAACTATTATTATAAAAAAAACTGAAGATTGAACAATGAAAAGTTATGTACCTGTTGAAGATTGAAGAATGAAATGTGACGTCGTCTTTATTGCACTCTAGTACTTAGGTTTCTCAGTTCTCACTTCTCTGAGTTCTTTCACAGCCGATCTCTTCAGTATAGGTTAGGTTTCTAATTACTAAATCCAACTGAAACTAGGGAAAGAGGGTAAGGAAGTGAAAGAGGGAAAGAGGCCTAATAGTCTTATTGGGTTGGGCTGGGCAGTGTAGAGATATAACATTAAAATTTTGGGTTGGGCACTTGGGATGGGCAGTATAGGTCCTACATGAAATTCGTTAAAAATTCGATATTTCGGTATTACCGAATTTTCAAGATCCTAATACCGAGGACCGTACCGTTATACCAAAAATTTAAAACCGAATTGAACCAAAATATCGAGAATACCAAAATTGAAATACCAAACTAATTCGGTTCCGTTCGGCATTCGATTTTTCGGATTTATGCCCACCCCTAAAAAGAAGTGAGTCATTTTAGACATGTGATATATGGGAGGAACGATCGGGAAGATAAAGACATTAGTTTCAGTTATTCTTGGAAGACTATGAGTCATGAAAAGGAAAACAACAATTGTTTCATTCAATATGTGCCTTGTTCGGCAATAGTAGGCTTCAAATAGAAATAGCCAAGTACGTGACACCAGTCGTCTCATGGAATGTAGAGAAACTCAGTTTAACTCGAAATGAGAATACTCTAGCACCCTGAATATGATATGGGTTTCGAAATACATGAAGTTTCATTACACTCTTAACAGTATTTGACACAAGAAATCTATGCCACAAATGTCACGCCCCAACCTCGGGAGGCGCGACCGGCGCTCAATCGAGTGAACCCAACTGAGCAAGCCTTGTTGACACTTTCTACCAAACTCAATATGATTAAGGAATTCGGCTTTCGAGTATTTAGACAATAGCAAACTCGAACATTCAACATTGTTAGTTCATGTTTATATCACAAATCTTAAAATCATGGTTAAGTTTCCAAGGTTTCATATAGTCATAGGTTAGAGGAAGTAGAGAATAGAGTTATAACACCGATCATTAACCCATCCAACACCCATACATAACCCACACATCGTCTACGGAGCCTCTATGGATACAAAAGACGCAATATGACATCGCCGGCAACAAGGCCCCGGCTATACCTCAAAAGTGAAAGTCTACAACAAAAGATGAACAACATAACCCCTTTGAAGGAAAAAGGGGCTCACCAAGTCTTCGGGAGGAGAACGTTCCGCTATGCACGATCGGCAGTGTCCGCTATAGAACCACCTACATTCATTTAAAAATGTAGCGCCCCCGGTAAAAGGGACGTTAGTACCATGGAATAGTACTAGTATGTATAACTAAACACCATCTAGTTAGAAAGAACTTTCATACAAGAATAAGAATTCACAAGTATAACTCAAAACTTCAAACGATCACCACATTATCAAATGACAGAACCATACAACTTGCACATCATTTCTCCATAGCCTTTAGTTTGGGGCATTTCCCACTATTCATCATTGTTCACATTACCACCACTATCTTGAGCGGAGTCCGATCTCGGCCCGATCGGCTAGGCCGCCTCATTTGAGACATATACTTCAATCACAATCTTATTTTTTTCCTTTTTCCGAAATTCATCCACATTACAACCGCTATCTTGAGCGGAGTCCGATCTCGGCCCGATCGGCTAGGCCGCCTTAACAAGGCATTGTTCCCTTCTCATGAATCATTTCATTTCACATATATCATTTCATAGGCTCTTGGGGCCACAACTTATCACATCATTCTTGGCATTAGGTCGCACTTTACATCGATTCCAATTTCAATATTAGCCTTGCCTTTTAGGACAGTAGGTGCACACAAGATGCAATTTAAATTGTAAGCATAGATAAGACTTGGCACAACAATGCAACTTCAATCTAAATTTAAGGTCTAACCATTTCAATACATAATTCATACCTTTGCCCCTTTCAACTTATCAAGATAGCACGTTGATCATGTTGAGACACATTTTTCACACATATAAGGTTACAACACCAATTCATGTAAAATAACAAGCAATGCAACAATTCAATTTTAATCTTACCATGTTCACACAATCACTAATGAAGCTCAATTTCTAAAAGACGGGGTTTTAGCCATACATACCTCAATAAAGCTTTCCTTAATTTTTACAAAATTTCGGGACTCTTAGCACTTCAATCTATGGTATAAGAATTACAAATCGAACCGAGAATTAGAGACGAGATTAAGATTCTAGCTCGCTTGAGCATATTATCAAACACTAAAGGTGCATTGTGATCTTAGGCCCCTTTTTGAAAGAAATTTCTTCAATGTTATACCCCAATTGTTGTCTCTTTAGTTCTCATCCTCCCCATACCCCATTATCTCTTATGCATGCATGGTTATTAGCCCTTTTTACCCAAGAACTCAATTGTTAATCACTTATCTTAAATAGCAATTTCGAAATTACAGATTATGGAACAAGTTCTTACCTTTTTAGAGTGAAGACCTATTAACTCTCTTGACAATCTTCAAGATTTTGGGGTAAGAGTTGGGTGGGGATTAGATGAAGGTCACTCCCTCTCTCTCTAGAACTCCTCTCCTCACTCTATTTTTAGTAAAAATAATATAGAGAAGGTCGGATGGGGTATTATTAATGGGATGGGGTCGTAGTTTTAAAAATTAGAAAATAGGAGCCCCGAGTCAGATCTGCGATCGCAAAACATGTGGCCCGCAGACTAGACCGCAAAAATGCTCCCAAAACCTGAACACACTGACTAGGTATACGACAGAAATGCGGTACGCATACCCGTTCTGCGGTCGCATAATGCACCGCAAAACTGCCCTTTACAAATTCCCAAGGGAATTATGCGGAGACTATGCGGCCCGCATATCGATTATGCGATCACATAATTGGCCGCAGAGTTGACCTCAAATTATTCAACACACTGACTGACTCTGCGGCAACTATGCGGTCCGCATACCTATTCTGCGATCGCATAGTGGACCGTAGAAATGCATTTTTTCTGAGAATATTGTTCTTGACTTTTTAATGCACAGATCAGCCCAAAGGTTCCAAATTTACACATTTCTAACACGTATCCCTAATTTGGCACAACGAGCTTCTGAGTTTTTTAGTAGAAGTTTTCACGGGGTCTTACATCCTCCCCCACTTAAGATCATTCATCCTCGAATGAGGATTAAGGTTCCCTCATAAGCCATCTTTATGCAATCTCGGCTTTTCACAACATGAAATGTAATAGTAGACTCAAATTTGATTAACTCCCTAAATTTTCAAAAATTTTGCCAGAGTTTCCCTTGTATCTAGGCCTATCCACCTGTCAGAGAGCCCCAGAAACATATCCTAACAGCACATACACATCACACAGACATAACATGACCCGTATAATATTAACCGTGGTCGTACGGGCAATCACGTACCCAAAACGAAACAGAACAGTTTTACATAGATCAAATCAAGGATATATAGTTCTTAGGAACCAAATGCATAAAATCTACTACATGGATTTACAAACAAATGTGGGTACTTTCTTCGCATTTTCTCCTCGGCTTCCAAGTGGCTTCCTCAACCTGCTGGTTTCGCCCGTAACACCTTTACGGAGGCAATTTCCTTATTTCTCAATTTTCGGACCTGCCTGTCAAAAATGGCAACTGGAACTTCTTCATAAGACAGTTCTTCATTGATCTCAATAGCTTCAACTGGCATGATAGTGGACGGATCTCCCGACTACTTCTTTCAATATAGACACATGAAAGACTGGTGTACCAATGACATTCGGGTGGCAACTCAAGCTTGTATGCCACCTGACCAATCCGCTGAATGATTCTGTATGGTCCGACATACCTTGGGCTTAACTTTCCTTTCTTCCCAAACCGCATGATACCCTTCATGGGGGAAACCTTCAAGAATACCCAATCATCTTCTTTGAATTCCAAACCCCTGCGACGAACATCCGAATAAGACTTTTGGCGACTCTGAGCAGTTTTCAACCTTCCTTAATAATTTTGACTTTCTCCATGGCCTGGTGCACAAGGTCTGGCCCTATCAATTCAGCTTCTCCGACCTCGAACCACCCAATGGGAGACCTACATCTCCTACCATACAGTGCCTCAAATGGTGCCATCTGGATACTAGCATGGAAACTATTGTTGTAAGCAAACTCTATAAGTGGCAAATGATCATCCCAGCTTCCATTGAAATCAAGAGCACAAGCACGCAACATGTCCTCAAGCGTCTGAATAGTCCGCTCTGCTTGCCCGTCGGTCTGGGGGTGAAAAGTTGTGCTAAGATTTACCTACGTGCCTAAACCTTGCTGAAATTTCTTCCAAAAGTTGACCGTGAACTTAGCCCCTCGATCAGAAATGATTGAGACCAGAGTACCATGCAACCTGACTATTTCCTTGATATACAACTGAGCATACTGTTCCGCTATGTCAGTAGATTTGACTGGCAAGAAGTGTGTTGATTTCGTGAGCCGATCCACAATCACCCAAATTGAGTCGAACTTGTACGGAGTGCGCGGTAACCCCACCACAAAATCCATGTTGATCACTTCCCATTTCCATATTGGGAATTCTATGCTTTGAGCCAATCCACCGGGCCTTTGATGCTCATCCTTCACTTGTTGACAGTTCGGACACCTTGCCACAAAGTCCACCACATCCCTTTTCATGTTGTTCCACCAATAAACTTCCTTAAGATCATGATACATTTTTGTAGAACCTGGGTGCACTGAATACCTGAAGCGTGAGCTTCTGCCATAATCCTTTCCCGAAGACCGTCAATATCCGGAACACATAGGCAGCCTTGGTACCGTAGGGTACCATCATCCATGCCAAAGGAAAAAGTCGTGGTCTTGTGTTTATGAATCCCCTCTTTCAGCTATGCTAACAACGGATCGTTGAATTGCTTCTCTTTCACCTCCACCACGAGCGACGATTCAGCCCTATTCTGCACAATTATCCCTCCTTCACTAGAGTCCGCAAGGCGAACTCCCAAACTAGCCAACTGATGAACCTCCCGGGCCAACAGCCTCAGATGCGTCTTCAAATGAGCAAAACTTCCCATAGATTTTTGACTAAGAGCATCAGCCACAACGTTAGCCTTTTCCGGGTTATAGAGAATATCAATGTCATAGTCCTTGAGCAACTCTAGCCATCTTCTCCG